GCAGTTTGTAGCACATTTTATAAGTATTCTGTCCTCCTATAACGTATACAGCATTCTGCTTCTTAAAATGTTTTAGTGATTATTTATACCTACCTGACTTATTATTTTGATTTTATTCTGTATTTTCTCCCAAAGCAGATGTGTTACTTTGCAACCAAGTCTTAAAGGTCTTAAACCCATGAAATTGCTGTTGAATTGCTGCGTATTCTGAATAAAGTAGACCCGACATCTCGATCTGATCTAAGAAAATCAGTCAGGTTTTCATCCCCGTTCGCTTTCAATAAGCAGTAAATGCCTAAAACTCTTAGGACATGAATTTCTGTCGTACAATAATGTTCATTGTGTTCAGGACTTTAAGAATAGTTTCTCCCAGGAGTCAGTAAAACTTTTCTTCTCCTTTAGGCTGCGTTCACACCAAGCGTGTTCTTAGCTCCAAAACACTGTCCAACGACTACTTGGACGATCTTGCACTTTCAAGAGCATCAAGAGCCATATTTACTCTCTGGATGCCTGATACTTATAAGCCGGTCTCTTGTAAAATGGCGGATGGAATCCAGAAATAATCTTGACTTTATTTGCTTTATAAAAAAGTAGTTGTAACATTTTAAGCATGAAAGTCAACTAAAAAACGTGTAGTGCCTAACGTGTCCAATATGAACGCACCACTAGAGGGAGATATCTGGTCATTTGCATGAAAAAGAAAAACGGCAAATGATGCGACTTGGATCCTCTGCAGCCGGTTTGTTCATTCTGAGCTTTGTTTTCACACAGTTCTTACACTCGATTTCCTTTTCCTACACCATGTATTTAAAATGGGAGCAACGTCCTGTACGGATACAATCAGAAAACCTCTCACCGTCTTCTGCCTGTGCATACACTCATAGAAATCCTCAAACTCCATCAGGCACTCCTTCTTGGCTCGGGTCTGACCGATGCCATGAGCGCACTCGATCCACTCTTTCTCGAAGGCGTGGCAACGGGACGCCCGCTTGTTGGGCTGCTCTCCGCTCTGCAGCAGCAGCCAGCGGTCCACGTTGATGCCGAGCCGTGACTGCAGGTCAACAAAGGGCATGGTGCTGGCGCTGTCAACAAAAGAAAAGGAGGTGGAAGATTTGGACAGGAAGCAGGGGAGTTTAGGATATGGACTAAACATAGATAAGTAGAACTTAGATGTGCTGCGTTCCTGTACAGCTAAAGCAGGATGCACGATCTGTTGATCTAAGAGGACTTAGATCAATAATTACTGGAACATTTCCAAACACCTGCAAATATTTAAAACCAGTTTCTAATTTGTAACACCTTTATTTTGTTTGTAGGATTTTTATTTTTCAAAAAATCCTACTTTACAACTTTGAATGCTTAAAGGAAGGAAGTTAAATATTATTTTGTGCATTTGGATTATTTTTCCATCCTATCAGAACCTGAAAGTCAAAGAGATAATATTCCAGAGTTTTACAGTGTCTTCACAACCTTATTTTTCTCTCTTCTGTAAATGGTTGCAATGCAAGAAAAATAATCTTCCACAAGGGATTAATAAAGTAATTCTGATCGAACCCTGGAGGTCCTTAATATCATGAACTTAATAGCATTCACATCTTTTCAAATGTTCTAGTAACTATCTGCATAATCTGCTGTTTTTATTCAGGTCTTTACTTACTAGATAAACAAATGATTACTTTCCTCAGATACTGAAATATGCGTTTTACCAAGTGGAATAAAATAGTGGGATAAAACAAATTTACACTTCAAAAACTTAAAGTTGAAGTTTAATAGCAAACCTTTCTGCTGCAGCTTTTGCTGATAGGTTGCTCCATGAGATTATCAATAAACCCTGCACAAACATATATATACATATTGTATACTCATATATAGAGGAATGATTATTTTTAGCGGCAGTACGTAACTTGTGTCATTAGTGTTGACACATCAAGTGTTGTTAGGGTTTATTTTGGCAAAGCTCTGTAAGCTGGGATGGTTTTAAAGGAAGGTTATATCTTTTCTGCTACTTTTAGACTTGGACAGATTTTTTTTATTTTGTACACAGATTGTATACAAAAAGAAATTTCATTTAGTACAGCTCTTGAGACATTTCCATTTCTAAAGTACAGCGGTGATAAAAATGTTAACAATGTAAATAAACACTGTACGTGTTGCTGTTCATTAGCTGATTTAAGACAATTTGTGAATAAATATACAAGTTATTGTATTTCATATGGTGTTAATGTAAGTTAAAATGCATTTAAATATTATCAGGTACAAATTCATATAAGTTTTCTGAATCTTCAGCATCCTTCAGGTTCACCTTTACAGTAATACAATCCTGCAGCACATTTCCTTGTTAACAGTTTAAGTGATTTTAGAGCCACAAACATAAATACTAAATATTATTTTGATGAAGTTTTTAGGTCAATTCTGTCTAACTGCTGACACTAAACCATAAAATAACAAAAATCAAACTGAAAATACACATTCCACAAATCAAGAAGCAAAGAAAACAATATGGATAAGAGACATTTCTATTATAGTATTGCTTACATTTAAAACCTACAACCAGTTTGTGACAAATTCCTAGATGTTAAATAATAGATTCACTAGAACAAGGTCTTTGAAGAGGATATGAAGAGGTCACACATTTAAAGGATCACCCTACAGATATTTACAGACTTTATTTTAAGTCCAATATTCAAATGATGGATAAATTCCTGGCAAACAAGTAAAGCTAAATATTAGTTCTGTTAATTTTCCTAGCTAGCTTTGCTAGCCAAACGGCTAACAGCTAAACATAAACACAAGGGTTCAACGACGTTCATTGGAGGAAACAAAGTAGTACATTAAATGTATAAACACAGTAAATACTTCATATAATAAGCAATGTGTGTTTTTTTTTTTCAGCTGAAGACTGATTCTGTCCGCAGGTTCTCCTTCAATGACAGGATGCTAATGCTAACAATCTTTTTCAAATAAATTTACCAAAATTAAACTGTCTAATAAAATTAAATAAACATTGGATGTAGCTTCTTATATGAAATGTCATATATCTTTAGGTCGGGCGTTAAAACGTCTCTATTTACCGTATATCCAAGTTTCCTCCGAGCGGATTTAACCTTCCTCCGCTTTACGGCAGTCGAAAACACGGCCGTAAAGTGATTTGTTCTGGCTTCTAAAAACGGTCATAATGGGAGACAACGCCTCTCAGCGGATTCAGAATGTAGAGCAGTTGATATATTTATTTATCTTTTTAAAATAAACAGTTTATTATTGCCTGAATATCGTCTGTTATTTGTGGTATCATTTTATGATGTGGTGGAATAATTATTTATATTTTATTCTCTAATAATATGGTGAGATAGTTTGGAGATTTTTACTTCTTTTTAGTTGTTTTTTTTAACTTCTTTTTACTTTAGTTTTTCATTAGTTCTTCTTTTTACTTTAGTTTTCCATTATACTTTAAAAAAATACATTTAACAAGGCATTACATTAGTTCATTAAGCTTTCTGTTACTGTGTCTATTTTTGTGTGTCTAAGTTGTTGTATTTCATCATGCTAAACTAAACTAAACAAACTAATGTCAACCATTAGCCAACAGTCAATATACTGTTGGGTTAAAAAAAGGAATTGGGAAACTTTATTATTATTATTTTTTGCAATCAATTTCTTGTATAATTCAAATGTTGAAAAAAAGGAATAAATTATGTACGAAACTGAACAAAAATAAAATTGCAAAAATTGGAGATTAATTGAAACCCTTTCTGCTTTAGCTTTCGCTCATTGGTTGCTCATTAAATCCTGCATATATAAATATA